AGAAAAGCAATTCCGCTTGTTACACACAATATTTTTTTTAAAAAAAACCATACAAAAAATAACATTTCCAAAAATTCTTAACACCTGTTTGAATTAGCAGACATCACATTTTTAGATAATACAGGTTTAGCTTCCAACAGTCTGCTACTATTAATTGAGTATGAGTCAAATAATGCTAGCAATAGTGGAATGGTTCCCAACCTGTGGTCCGTGGACCACCAGTGGTCCTCATGAATAAAAATATGGTCTGCGGCCTCATCATTAGTAAACCATTGCCTCGAAACCACACAACAACGAGAGCAATGGTTCTCCCTCTTATAGTGCCAAAGCAACGGTGATGTCGGGAGGGGAAAGGCTGATTACCCATGAAATATTATTAATTATTTATTTCAAATATTTGTACCCTGCCTTCTCAACCCCCGGGGCAGCTTACAGCCGGCAGCAATTCAATGCCCCCCATACAAAACATAGTAAAACACAACAATTACATAGTAAGTAAAAACATTAAATTAAATTAAAAATCCATTTAAAATAGTATTAACTGTTGGACATATCTAAATCCGAATTCTACGACCAACAACTCAGTCCAAAGCCTGTCCATAGTCCATTCTCCATAACATTGTCAGTCTGCTACCTGAATGCCTGGTCCCACAACCATGTTTTCAACTTCTTCCTGAAGAAAAGGAGGGATGCAGATAACCTAATTTCGCTGGGGAGCAAGTTCCACAGGTGGGGGGCCACCGCCAAGAATATTACTGCTACCACACAGCTCTAGATTATTAAATATGATGGAGCCCCCGGTGGCGCAGTGGGTTAAACCCCTGTGCCGGCAAGACTGAAGATCGACAGGTCGCAGGTTCGAATCCAGGGAGAGGCGGATGAGCTCCCTCTACCAGCTCCAGCTCCTCATGCGGGGACATGAGAGAAGCCTCCCACAAGGATGATAAAAAACATCAAAATATCATCTGGGCGTCCCCTGAGCAACGTCCTTGCAGACGGCCAATTCTCTCACACCAGAAGTGACTTGCAGATTCTCAAGTCTCTCCTGACACGACAAAAACAATTAAATATGATTTTCTGTGGGTGAGCAGATGGCGACTACTGGATGGCATATGTTCTGAAACAGAAACTAGAGCTGATGTGGTCTATCCAATGCAATTTTCTGAATCAGAACCCCAAATAACCAAAGTGAATCTAAAGTTGACCAAAAACTGATTTGTACCCCTTTTGGTACTAATGCTGGAGAGTGGTCCCTGGTCAAGTGGTCCCTGGTCTAAAAAGAACAAATTAACAGGTACGCTGGCACATTTGTGGACCTCTGTTGTGTCGAAGACAATGTTTAGGGCTGCAAGGCTATCTGGAGAGGTCCTTCTTTCTGTCACAGCACATTCTCAAGTCTGCTTAATGCGAACAAGGGAGAGGGCCTTCTCAGTGGCTGCTCCCAAACTATGGAATGTCTTCCCTAGAAAAACCAGGGTGCGTCTACACTGCAGAATTCATGCAATTCAACACTACCTTCACTGCCATGGCTCAATGTTATGGAGTCATACGGTTGTAATTTGATGAAGAACCAGCAGTCTTTGGCAGAGAAGCTACAGATGTAAAACTACTGCTTTGAACCATGGCACTAAAGCTGTGTTAGACTGCATTAATTCTGTAGCATAGATGCATCAAACGATAGCCCTCGTCCTTGCTCTCCTTCTGGAGGCCTATAAAACTTTTTTGTTCTGCCAAGCCTTGACAAACTTGCAAGGGTTTATTTATTTATTTATTTATTTATTGTTTCATACACTTGTACCCTGCCCTTCTCACCCCCAAGGGGGGGACTCATGGCGGCCTCACAGCCATCACCATTCAGTGCCATCACAATTATAAAAACATTCAACCAATTCATTAAAACAAACAATAAATGAACAGTTGTTAAAAACACACCAGTTAAAACTAAAGTCCGAGTCAATTCATTGTCACTTCAAATTGCTTGTGTCTTCTTCGCATTTGATGCCATTTAATGATCAAACGCTTGGTCCAACAACCTAGTCTTGAGTTTCCTTCTAAAGGACAGGAGGGAGGTGGCTAATCTGATGTCCCTGGGGAGGGAATTCCACAGATGGGGGGCCACTGCTGAGAAGGCCCTGTCCCACATCACCACCAATTGTGAAGGCAGTGGGATTGAAAGCAGGGACTCTCCAGATGATCTTAAACTTTGTGATGCATGGGCTACTGATGTTGTGTGGTAATGTTTTGAAGATTTTTAAATGGCCTCTATGCAGTTTTCAACTCATCTTAGTATTCAATTTTTAAATTTATAAACAGTTTAACTTTTTAATCTTATATTTATACTTTTATTTTGGTGGTTGTGCTGTTTTTAACTTGTATTGTTTTGAATAATCTTGAGTCCCATTATCAGGAGAAAGGCAGACTATAAATCAATTAAATAATAGTTAAAATAATGCTGTATGCAAGCTTTAAATGGTCGCAGAACACCCTTACAGACAGAACAATGAAGGAAAATACACTCAGGCACTCAGACTGATTGCATACAAAACTTAGCAGATGCCCAGAGTCCTCTGCATTTTGGAAGCTCACTGAAATTAAATCTTGAATACACCATTCTTTATTCTGTTTTTTTAACTGATTAGGGAAAAGCCAGAATGGGAATCAGAGCAGTTTACGGAACCATTCGTGGTACTTAAGTATTTTCTCCTGGGCTTTTGTGGGGAAAATGACAGGGGTTTAGACTGATCATGCAGTGCTGTTCTTATCTATATAAATAAAAATGTAATGTTCGTTTGTGGGATTAACATAAATCAAAAACCACTGGGCAAATTGACACAAAATTTGGACACAATACACCTATCAGGCCAACAAGTGGCCATCACTCATAAAAACACTGAAAAACACAGCAGAAGAGATTTTAAAAGCCTCTCTCTCTCTCTCTCTCTCTCTCTCTCTCTCTCTCTATATATATATATATATATATATATATAAATAAATTACAATGGACGTGAAAACCACATATATACACATATACATACATATATACACACACAAAACACATATACACAGACTGGGCCACAGCAATGCATGGCAGGGGATGGCTAGTGTTGAATAAAAATGTATTCTGGTGGCTTTATTTTAATTTACGCAGTATTTTTAATCTAATCTGCATTCATGAAAATTGGAAATGCAGATTTTCAATCTGCTGAATTTCTAAATTAAAATGTTTCTGAAGTGGTTTTGGCTGCTAGACAGATACAGGAATTCTATTTTGGCATTTTGAAATGTTACCCCCCCCCCCCCCCCCCCCAAAAGAACTTACTTGGTTTCATCCCAGCAAAAATATGGAACCAAACTCAATAAGAAATGCATATAAATAGGGCTATCAATTAAAAAGTGTTAATTACAGAACTTTCTAAATGAGGTTAACAGTATTTGGATAGGCCCTAACTGCGCAACTTTTAACTTTAAAGAATCTGTTACTTTTCCATTCCTTTAACTGAGACATTACCAATGGTTTTCTTCAGCTGGCTTTTATAACGATACACAAGAAGACTATTTTATACTGCTTGCTAAAAGCAACATTCCAATTATTGTAATACACTAGCACTTAGTACATTAACTGCATCCTTCTAAAGGCAATTCACCACGCAACCTTCTTTGGAAAAAAGAAGGTTGAGACCATTATGCCAAGAAATAAATTGTGTCAGATGGGTTTAAGGCTTGCCCTCTCTTACTTCTGAGGAGGGTAAAGACCCAGGGAGCACCAGTTTTTATTTCTTTTTAAAACTGCCTTATCTCTAAGTAGACTGCTAGGTCTGGGGCTCTCTTTTCTCCCTCCTGCCTCCATGGAGGTAAGACAGTTTTTTAAAAAAGAAATACAAATGCAGCCAGCCCAGGCCCAGCCAACTTCTCTGAAGATGCCACAGATCCTCTGAAGATACCAGCCACAAAGGCAGGCAAAACATCAGGAGAAAATGCTGCTAGAACACAGCCATACAGCCCAGAAACCACACAACCCCCCAGCCAACTCTGTTTGTACTTTTTAAATAAACTGTCTTACCTCTGAGGAGACAGGAGGGCGAGCCTAGACCCAGCTGGCTTTAATGTTAATGTGATATTTATTTATTTATGAGATTTCTATGCCGCCTTTCTCAGCTTTCGCAGCTCACAACACATTCAAAAATGTCCATGCAAACATTAAAACCGTTAATTAAAACCCATGTGTAATCTTCAGTGATGCTTAAAACTGTCTATGGTTTAAACATTAAAGATAGAAGAGTATAAAATTTCCGTATTTCAATTTTAATAATGTGCCTGGCTTCAGTTAAAAGCTGCTCCGAAGAGGAAAGCCTTCACACATTTCCTAATCAAATAAGGGAAGGCAAGAAACCAATTTCAGGATCCTATCATGCCATACTATTAGACTATGAAATATAGTAATGGTTCACATGCAATTCTTATTGAATATTAGAAGCTCACAGATCCCAGCAATATTCATTTCAACATATTTAAGACCATTAATTTCTATATATGTTTCACGTCTAAGTTTTTTTTTTACAATCTACTGGAAGTAAGAAAAATCACCCTTGGGTCCCTTCTTATCACAGAATTATCTCCACATTTTATCTTCTGGGTACATTTCATCTACACCAAGTTACTGAACTTTCTCTGATGGGGACATCTCGATCAACACAAGGGTTTGCTTTTTGTACATGAAGCCAAGGTGCTTATCTCTATCACAACTATATTAAATCATTCCAAACACACAAAGAGCTCTCAGATAATGGCTAGATATGACGTTACCAATATGCATTAAAATTCAACTGTTAGCAGAAATTTCAAATTAAAAAGAAGTTATAAAATGAGTTCATTTTTTATAAACCAGCTTCCTGTTTAAATACTGAAATTCATCAATAATCTACCATTTAAGACAAGAATACCCATCTGAAAAGAATGCAACATTTGATCACCTATTAATATCAATATCAGTTTAAATATACCTTGTTGTATGCAGGTCTGGGCAACTGCAAAAAGTTCGGGCGATCTTTCTTCTAACAATTGCTGATGGATAGTCACACACCGCAAAGTCCACCAGGGCAATGTCTGCAAGTGGGAATGAAAGATATTTGGAAACATTAAATCCACTATTTGGACAGTAACACATTGGCACGTGTATGTTAGCAAGATAGTTCTAGATTATTATTATAAGGGGAAGAACTTCCTGATAAGGAAGATCACTACAATTGACCAAAAAAAGCATGATCTACAAAGGTTACAGACATAACAGATAGCCAGAATGGGAACTCTACAGTAAAAAGAAAAGCTATAGTTTAACAACACACTGCATACTTTGTATATGCAGAACATTCAAACGTAAATTAAACTGCTAGTCCCAACCATCTAGAATCAATTACAGTATATTCTGGCGTATAAGACTACTTTTTAACCCAAGAAAATCTTCTCAAAAGTTAGGGGTCGTCTTATATGCGGGTGTAGTCTTATGCATGGGAGTCGTCTTAACTCTATATTTTAACTGGAAAAGTTGGGGGTCGTCTTATACGCCCAGTCGTCTTATATGCCGGAATATACGGTACTCAATGCTAATTTAACCATTATGGAAACTGTATCGATTTGGTGAGTCCAGGAATTGGATTTAGGCCACAGGTTCAGTCCTCTCCATGTCTAAAACCCTGGGAAGCTACTGCCATTGGTATAAAGAAACACGATAAGTAGTAATAGAAATAATAATAGAAATGATGATGATGATAATACCCACTTCTCCTCATGGTATGAGGCAGGGTACAATATGGTTAAAACACACAGGTAAAATATAAATCTGTACTATTAAAAAGTATTAATTAAAATACACCGAACAAAGACTGACACCAATACGAATAAAAGATAAATTCACAGTTTAAAATTGACTAGGTAGGGCTGTTGTAATAGTCCAAGAATGGTCAAAGTCCAAGAATGGAAACAGCGGCTAAATGAATTACACCAAAAAAATCATATGACTGTTCTATGAAAACTGACAATCCAAAAACAGGACTGTGGACACAATATGAGGATTTAAAGATCGAACTGCAAAGACTCTGGCACAAGCCAGTCAAGGTGGTCCCAGTGGTGATCGGCACACTGGGTGCAGTGCCTAAAGACCTTGGCTTGCACTTAAACACAATCAACGCTGACAAAATTACCATCTGCCAGCTGCCACCTTACTGGGATCTACATGCATTATATACTTGGGAAGTGGCCGACGTGTGATCCAATACAACAGCCAGCAAAGTGATCTTGTCTGCTGTGGACTCATCTCGTTGTGTTTCAAATCATAATAATAATATCGACTTCTCCTTATGGTATGATACAATATGGTTAAAACACACAGTCAAAATATAAATATATACTATTGAAATGCATATATTAAAATACACCAAACAAAGACTGACATCAATACGAATAAAAGATAAGGCTAAAATTCATTGTTTAAAATTGACTAGTTAGGGCTGCTATAATAGTCCAAGAATGGTCAAAGTCCAAGAATGGAAATAGGGGCTAAAGGAATTACACCAAAAAATCATATGACTGTTCTATGAAAACTGACAATCCAAAAACAGGACTGTGGACATGTTTAATCCACAGATTGTTTTCGAAATGACTGCAAAGGTGACATGATAAATAAATATGTCACTGAAATAAATTCAGAGGTTTTAAAAAAGAATCAGAACACAACTGCAGGCTTCTAATGGGCAATTTAATTAGCTGATGCATATACACGTCTGTGCTGACTTTGTTATGTCTGCTCAGTGCAAAGCAATTACATAATAGCATGCCCTGTAGAAGGCATCAAATGGTGCTAAGGAACTGCACGATCCGAGGGCAAAAATATCTCACAGAACAGTTGGATGCAGTTTATTAAAACTGTTCTAGAAACACCTGTCAAAAGAGATATTGCGTCGTCTTGCACAGAACACAACGAAATGTGACTTATGCTATCAAGCTGAATAAAATAAGGTACATCATATATACAGAGGACCTTGTTAGAGAAGTCAACTCTTTAACATTTTTATACTTCATGCAGGAACCCCTAAAGCTTTAGAAGATTTGCAACATGAAAACCTATGCAGCTGACATTGCTCCAGGCTTTATGGATTTTGTCACCCACAACTTGCAACACAAAATAAATAAAATAATATAAATAAACAACAGCAGTCAAGAGGGAGCACAAAATGACAAACCAATTGTGATAAACATAAGTGCTTCTGAAGGGTTACAGTATCCCTTTTGAACACTGCCATTCTTGGCTGCCTTGGCTCTGGGGTGAGAAGGGTGGGGTATAAATATGGTAAATAAATAAATACATTCTTTTTAAGGGCCCATTCCACTGAGAGGAATAACACATCATTCACCTCTAACGGTAAACTAAGGTTTAGTGTTAAAATGCTGAGCAGTTATGAGCCTTGAGGAACACCTATAACATTTAAGAGCTGATCTGTGTTAACCCAAGAGAAAGCAGCTTAACACAACTCATCCCATGAGTTAAGATAATTTGAGGGGTAACCTAAATCCTGAGACAGGATTTGGGTAGTCCCTTGGTTAGAGCAGGCCTGCACAACTTGCAGCCCTCCAGGTGTTTTAGTCTTCAGCTTCCAGAATTCCTGGCCATTGGACAACCTTGCTGGGGCCTCTGGCATTGGAGGCTCAAACATCTGGAGGGTTGCAAGTTGTGAAGGGCTGAGTTAGGAAATGTCAAGACAGTTGGGCCAGTTCTTAACTAGAACTAGTCACAGCTGTCTTGACAGTCATCCTACACTCCCCAGACTCAGGTAGCCCAGGAATGCAGGACAGCAGTCCCTTCCTGTCCCCTCCCCCCATATCACAGCTGTTGCCAGGCAGACAAACCCACCTACCTATTCTTGGATGGGCAGGTAACAATTTGCAAGACTGCGTCCTCACCAAGGAGATTGGCTGGAGAGAGAGCAGGACTTTCTCCAGATCTCTCCCAGCCACTTTCATGAACCATGCACTGGGTGAATCCAGCAAGCACACCCGAAGATTCGAGTGGGGGGAGGGAGCCATGACACAGAGGAAAAAGGATGGCATTTAGGATGCCTGTCCAGTGCTGAACCGTGTTCATCATAGCTGAACAGCAGGGACTCCTTCCCTCTGAGATGGCTCAGGTATTCACTATCTAGTCGCCAAGAGTGTTTGATCTAGCATCTGGGGCACCGGACCAAAACTGTTTTCGGGGTCAGCAAAGATGTGCCTTCGAAAAAGCCATGTGCTCTCCCTTTCTTTATGCATGTTTACAAATTCTGGTTAGATTTCAAAATAAAACTAAGTATTTCAAATCATGAAGCCAATCTGAAAAAGCTAATTATAGTCTGAACAAACAAGTTTCCCAACAAAAAACTGTAAAAAGATGCCATCTAGTATATTCCAGAGGGATATGAAACAAAGGGGAGCATCCCAATAGGCTTTCAGTCTACTCTCACTCACGACAATGATGTATACATTACATCTGAATTAAGCCAAAGGTCGAGTGACATGAAAAAAAGATCAAGAAGTAGATGAGGGAGTGATAGATATGCAAGGAAAGCATCAAGTCTCAAATACCAGGGTCAATGTTTGATTCAAGCAGTTTTGAATTATATTTTGGTGCCAATACACTTGGAATTTTTTAATCCAGTTTTCTAGAGTAGAGCTTCTCAAAATGTGGGAGCTGACTCCAAATGGAGTCTCCTTAGCTCAATGTTGGGGTTGCGAAAGGCTCCCCCCTCGCCAAGAGTAGGACCCACAGAGGTTGCTGCTTCTATCTAAGGCAGTAGTTCTCAACCTTCCTATGCTGTGACCCCTTCCTAGGGGCATTTGTTCAACTAATAATAACAGCTTTTGAATTGATGAGCAAAAAGAGGTTTTGAGTCAAATTTCTAAATGACAGTTTTAAAAAGTATATTAATTGTAAAAACATAATTGCTTTCATCAATAATAACTGCTGGATTATTGTAAAGCTATGGTTGGGATGTAAAGCTATGGTTGGGATGTAAAGCTATGGTTGATTTTTTTTTTTTACTAATGTCAATGAAATGCAGAAGTTCAATTGACAGCAGCTGAACAAGAACTTGCCTTGATACAGACACATGCCTATTGTTTGATTTATTAGAACAGTACAAGAGACTCTGAATTTTAGTTAGCTGAGAAAGCCTACACCTCAACATTTAAACCCTATGGCGGTGACATACATTTCTTGATATAAAATCCCCAGATAATTTTTCAATCCAAAATTTATATCTGTTACTCATAAGATCTTCTGCACGCTACACGAAAATGTCAATACAACACAAGCACTATAAGCAAAAAAATCTCTCTCTCTCTCTCTCTCTCTCTCTCTGTGGGTGGGTCTATGGATGTTGTTGGACTGCAATGGCATCTATGGTAGTATGCACAGTCCATGTTGGTGTGAACTGCCAATATCTGGACTCCACATGATCCTGATCAGTGATATATGCTATTATTTGCTGCCAGAGAAAACTTCTGGTTTCACCTGAATACATCATAATATTTTCCTTCAAGGACTATAAGTTATCTCTCTTTTTTGTACCAGCATTTATTGGCATATTTTCTTTCTCAGAACTTAATCTGCCATGAGATTAGTATGAAAATGTTAACAGTGAATGAAATTCCTCTGCCGTGAATGAGACAGGGTGGGGTGTCTTTTTTCACTGTAGACAGAGCTCTCTTTAGACACTCAGGAAGAACGCAGACTCATTATTATTTAGACCAATGGTGAAGATATTACAGGCAGCCCAATGCACTATCTAGTTGACTACTATAAAATGCCATAGCTCCTGTGACCATGGACAGTATAGAAAGTGTGACCAGACTCTACATAAAAGTGGATAGGAAGTCAGAAATCACTCTGCAGCCAAATTCAAGGAGGAATGATTATGAGCAAAGTGACATTAGGTCAGAATAGCGTAACTACATATAGCCTGTCTGCCAAGAGAAAAGCCAGCAATTACCAACATGAGCAAGGCCTTGTTCCTGCAACTGCTGAGTAACTGAGCACTTCCTTGCCTTTCTTACCTCTGCGATTTCTTAACTTCTCAGCTACAACTCAGTATCATCTCGCCCCTTTAATCCTAAACTTCCCTTGTTTAGTCACACCATGGCTTCCACCCTTACTTCTTGGATCCTGTTCTCTTGCACAGAAGCTGGAGGGACATCTGTTGGGGGTGCTTTGAATGCGATTTTCCTGCTTATTGGCAAGGGGTTGGACTTGATAGCCCATGAGGTCTCTTCCAACTCTATGATTTTATGATTCTATCTCTATGAGCCCCTTTTCCACTCACTTGAGATTTTCTAGTAATTCTAGCAATCCCCCAATCTTGTGGAAACATAACAAAAGAAAAGGTGAATCAAGAAATACACATGGTGCAAGTGACAAAATGCTAACATAATCCAACCGAAGAAAGAAAGAAACACAATTGTTTCCTCAAATTTTTCATTACCTGAATAGTTTCTAGCTTATGCCTTGAATTCACAAGCACGGCTCTGGCAAGCATCAACAGAACAGAATGGGAGGTCAGGCTGTAGATTGATTCGCCATCTAGAACCAACATGTTCAGGACAGCTGCAGACAATGCACTGGCCTGGAAAGATCAAACAAGAAACTTACTGTAAGCAATTTCAAATTATTTTAAAAGGAAGCACAAAAATTGCATATTGAACACATTGATTTATATTAATACAATTCCCATTCTTCTTCTTTCAAAATACTACTACTAGCCCGATAAAGCTGCTTATAAAATGCTGGGGGACGGGGGGGGACGGGACTATACCTGCCTTAGAAAATACTAAGATAGAAAACACATCTCCACACTACCAATAAGCAAATTTATGTATTGTGTCAGAAGGAAATTGAGAATACAGCTATAATGTATAGAAAAATCACAAAGTTAAAAACTTGACATTATGCTAAATTTCATTTGACGAGAAGCTGGCCACTTCAAGTGCCTCTGGTGTCGCTGTAAGAAGGTCCTCCATTACGCATGTGGCAGGGCTCAGACTGCACTGTAGTAAGTAATAAATAAATACAACTACTGTATTTCTTCACTTCTAGGATACACTTCTTATATAAACATCTCTAAAACTGGAATGTACTTCAGAATTGCAGCTGCATCATACATATTTTTGCTGCTGGTGGTGGTACTGAAATTTGAGTGCATCTTACAATTGATGGCATCTTACAATTGGAAGAAATTTGGCATATACTTTCAAAAAATTAAGATAAACAAATCAGGAGAAATATCAATTGCACTGTAAATATTATATACAGTGATAAAGAACAAAATCCACATTAGATTTTTTTCTTCCACTTCCCCCTTTTAAAATTTCCTCTTGTCATTGTTGAAGTATCACAATGGGTAGCAGTATCTTCTGTCTGTGTGTGTTTCCCCTCTTAACTATTTGAGGTGTCTGGGTCCCCACAGAGGAAAAAGGTACTTGGAGATGCCTTTGAAGAAATGAACATCAGGGTCTTTCCTGCAGCCTTATCTTGAAAAAAAAAATCAATGAGTGCTCAATCTGACTTCTGGTTTTGGGACAAAGACAACTTTGGTTGCCTTAGTGGATGGCCTATGCTGGGAATTGGACTGGGGAAGTGTATTCCTGTTGGTTCTGCTGGACATCTTAGCAGCTTTTCATACCACCAACTATGAACAAACTAAGAAGGTAGTGCTGGGGAATTCCTGTTCAGCATCTTGGAGAGATTGCAAAGAGATTTGGGATTCAATGTCATCAGGGTGATGTGCAACTCTATCTCTCCTTGCCATATGACTCCAAGGTAGCTGTTACTGTACTAAGCTGGTATCTGTTGTCTGTAATGGACTGGATGAGGGCAAACAAATTGAAGCTTAAGAGGTTGTTCTGATCAGTTGGAAGGCAGATTAGGAATTCAGGATGTGCTGGATAGAGTTACATTCTTCTCTAAAATAGGGAGTGCCATGGGGAGGACTGGGTCTGTACCTCATTGTATTGCAATCCCAATTCAGATGGTAGGAAGTCTTTGGGTTGGAGGTCAACAGGAGGCCCAGTCCAATTGCTCTGAACAAACAACTGCAAGCTGGCCACACCGAGTAGAAACACCACACTTTGTCTGTCAGACACAAAAAGCAGTTCAATTGTTAGTAATGCTGTAGAAAAACAACACACAGTGATAGGACAAAGACTGTGTTGTCGAAGGCTTTCATGGCCAGAATCACTGGATTTCTGTGAGTTTTCTGGGCTGTATGGCCATGCTCCAGAAGTATTATCTCCTGACGTTTCACCCACATCTATGGCAGGCATCCTCAGAGGTTGAGAGGAAACTAGGCAAGTGAGGTTTACATAACTGTGGAAAGTCCAGAGTGGGAGAAAGAACTCTTGTCTGTTTCAGGCATGTATGAATGTTGCAATTGGCTGGCTTTATTAGCATTGAATAGTCTTGTAGCTTCAAAGACTGGCAGCTTCCTACCTGGGGGGAATCCTTTGTTGGGAGGTGTTAGCTGGCCCTGATTGTTTCCTGTCTGGAATTCCCCTGTTTTCTGAGTGTTGTTCTTTATTTACTGTCCTGATTTTAGAGTTTTTTAATACTGTAGTCAGATAAACCCCACTTGCCAAGTTTCCAACAGACCTTAAAATTTCTGAGGAAGCCTGCAATAGTTGTGGGCAAAATGTCAGGAGAGAAGGTTTCTAGAACATGGCCATACAGCCTGGAAAACTCACAGCAACCCAGGCCCAAAGACCTGGGTTTATTTAAGAGATGCAAAACCCACAAAATTATTAACTCTGCATGTGGAAATAAATACCTCTGAATTAAAAAAAAACAACAACCTAAACCTTTCTTCAATGAAACCTGTAACATTTTAAATCCTCAAATATATCAAATTAATGTTAAATTGCTCACTGTCTGCATTAACTCACAAAAAGTCTGGGAATAGCAACTACATATCTTGATTTTCTCAATTCTGTGTGAGGAGAAACTTCCACTGTCCTTGCATTGATCTAGCAGAAAAGAGGGAAACCATTATCTGCTAAAATGAAAAAAGAAAATAAAATTAAGTGGATTAAAGCACATTGATAACTAAGAATGGCATAAGATGTAATGTAAGTAGTGGTGGTCTAAAAGCAAATAAAACTCTTCTCTCCAATTGTATATTGGGCCAGGTTCAATACAATGAAAATGTACCTTCCTAGTTTCTCTAAATGACAAAATATTTTTTTCTTTTCCAAATACAACTATTTTTACCTTTCTATAGTATCAACATCCGCAGAAGTACAATCTAGATAAAGTTGAATCTGCTTTTTGAAATAGCTGTCAATAGGTTCTTCATTTCCTGCTGGTGCGGAGAAGATATTCTGGACAGCTTTACTTAGTAAAATGGACTCATAGTTTCCTTCAAGCAGCAACTGCAGCAAGGACCCACTTTCTGAAATAAAGTATTTTTATTTTTAAACAATTTATATTTTATGTAGAAATGTAGCACTAAATGCACCTTATTTCAGACAATATTGCTATCAAAATCTGGTTTGAAATCTAGTAAACATTGCACTTGATTTGCTCTTAATCTGTGAACATCCTTCACAAAATGGTTTTAGTGACCGTTTTGTTGCGGTTTCGACAAAGCTGACACATTTCATATATCACCAAGCCCAGTAGTTGCTTCATGAACTAAAATACTTTGTATTAGAATTATATAGAAAACGTTTTGCATCTCTGCTTTGCCAACAGTTGGCAACACAAGTAAAAATACACTATCACAGAACTGTAGTCTAACAATCATTATTGCCTTTATAGAATAAATTGCAATTAAAAAGAGATTCTGAACTGAAAATAGACCTATGGTCCAATCAGCATGGAAAACATGTAAATATGTTACCCTTACCTACCCTGGTTTCTGAGTGATTCAGTACAGGTTGACTATCCCTTATCTGAAATGAAGGGACCAGGTATGTTTTGGATTTTAGAATACCTGTATTTGCATATATGTATACAACATGATATCTTGAAGATGAGATCAAAGTCTAAACACAAAATCCATGCATGTTTCATATGGTCTTTATATTCAAAGTGTGAAGGTTATTTTACACACCATAATTTTAATAATTTTGTATACGAAACAAAGTTTATTTATTTTATTTACTTATTTATTATTTAAACTTATATGCCGCCACTCCCCTGGGGAGCGGTTTACAAGAATAGCTAAAATCTAACAAAGTTTAAAAGCAATTTAAAACAATTTAAAAACAACAGTATCAAACATTAAAAGCCTGTCGGAACAGGTATGTCTTACATGCCCTGCGGAAAGCTGGTAAGTCCCGCAGGGCACGAACTTCAGGTGGCAGAGCATTCCAGACTGATGGCGCCACTGCTGTGAAGGCTCTGCGTCTGGTTGCCGTTAGACGCAAGGTCTTGACACTGGGGACTTCCAATAGATCTTGGTCCTCAGAACGGAGGGATCTCTGGGGTTGGTAGGGGGTGAGGGTCCCTCAGGTACATCGGCCCCAGACCATGCAAGGCCTTAAAGGTGAGTACCATCACTTCGAAAGTGATCCGGTGCTCAATTGGTAACCAATGCAGCTGTAGTAAGATTGGTGTTATGTGGCATCTCATCGGAATTCCCGCAAGAAGCCGAGCAGCTGCATTTTGTACCAACTTGAGCTTCCGAATCACCGACAGAGGGAGGCCAATGTAGAGGGCGTTACAGTAGTCCAGTCTTGAGATGACCGTGGCCTGGATCACCGTAGCTAGGTCGTCCCTGGACAGGTAGAGGGCCAGCCGTCTAGCCTGCCGCAGGTAAAAGAAGGCGGTTCTGCTCACGGCGGAGACCTGGGCCTCCATTGTCAGCAGAGGGTCCAAAAGGACTCCCAGACTCTTTACCAATGATGACGGGCGTAACGCCTCGCCATCCAGGGTGGGCAGATGGAAGTCCGCACTGCCCAGTCCACCCAGCCATAGGATCTCCGTCTTTGCTGGATTCACCCTCAACCTGCTGGCACGCAGCCATCCAGTAACGGCCTCGAGGCACTGATGGAAACAATCGGGTACAGAGTCTGGTCGGCCTTCCATCTTCAGCACCAGCTGAGTGTCATCGGCATACTGATAACACTCAAGCCCAAAACCTCGAACCAGCTGAGCAAGTGGTCGCATATAGATGTTATGTAAACTGAATCCTCAGAATACAAAACTATCACTATCTCTGTGTAAAAAAAAGTACACAAATACTATATTTCTTTGATTCTAAGATGCCATCCATTGTAAGACATACACTAATTTTAGTATCAACAGAAAAAAAACCCTTACGTTTTTGTATATAAAAGCACCTGTGATTCTAAGACACACACCTTTTTTAGATATGTTTATATTATAAGGGGAGGGGGGTCTTGGGAGCCTTCCAGACAGGCTTAATATCCCAGGATCTCATCCCAGGTTTTCTTCCTATCCCAAATTATCTGGCAGTGGGGACTCACATTATCCATTTTAATGCAGAAAACCTGGGATCAGATCCTAGGATATAGGACCTGTCTGGATGGGCCCTTAAACTGAAGAAATACAGTAATAAGGGCAGCAAAGTCTAGATTGGCATCCACAAAAGAAACTCACTTCCTGTTACATCAGCAACATTATGTTGCTTTACAGTTGAGAAACTCTGGCCCCAATCTACACTGCCATATTATGCAGTTTGAAGTTGTATTATATGATCAGTGTAGAGTAATGTACTACAGTTCAATGAAGTTTCAAACTGTATTATATGGCATTGCAAGATGAGGCTTCTGCTCATTGTAACCAGCAATGCTACAAGGTGAAGGCATGTAATCTCTTACATAAACCTTTTTATTCAGGCAGGCTTTTAAAGAAGGTTTTTAAGATCCAGTCATGAGGTGCAGTGGTTTTAGCTTTGAATACATTTTCAATCAGTTTTTAAGGATTTAAATTGTTTATTTTTTAATACCATTAATATATAATTCTATTTTGGGTGGCTGTGAGTTTTCCGGGGCTGTATGTCCATGTTCCAGAAGCATTCTCTCCTGACGTTTCACCCACATCGATGGCAGAACCTCACAACCTCTGAAGATGTCTGCCATAGATGTGGGTGAAACGTCAGGAGAGAATGCTTTTGGAACATGGTCATACAGCCCAGAAAACTCACAGAAACCCAGTGATTATGGCTATTCAACAACACATTAATTCTATTTTAATGTTTGAATATTTTTGGGTTTTAAATTGTATTACGTCGGTTTTACTGTAAGCCCCTTTGAGCCTCTTTCGTAGAGACAGAACAAGAGCAGGGTTCAAATAAACATAATAAACACAATAACAACGGCAACAATAACCTGACTGAAGATCCTTAATCCAAAATGAACTACTTGAGAGGCTGAGATAGGAACACCTTTGCTTTATTATTTATTTATTTCTTATTTGCCCTAGGGGGGCTCAAGGAGGCTTACATACAGCACCTCCGCAGTGCCTTAAAAACATACAATGATAACTTAAAATAACTTGAATTAAAGTCAATGCATAATAAACATGATTAAAATACATTTCAATGTAATCACACCTGCCAGGGTCAAAATCTTAGGCCACTCCATAGACAAACTGCACATTTTCTTATGGTTCACTTTCTACAACCTTCATTCCACACACAAAAACAAACATGCTGTGTATAAAATTTCCTTTGGGCTATGTGCACAAGGCTTATATCAAACACCAATGAATTCCATGTTGGGACTTGGGTCCCATCTCCAAGATATCTCACGGTGTATATCAAGCATGGGCAAACTCTGGCCCTCCAGTTTTTTTGGACTTCAACTCCCACAACTGTAAAACCGATGTAATACAATTTAAAACCTAAGAATATACAATTGTGGGAATTGAAGTCCAAAACACCTGGAGGGCCGAAGTTTGCCCATGCCTGATGTATATACAAGCATCCCAAAATCTGGACTACGGAACTCTTCTGGACCCAACAAGTCTGGGTAAGGGATACTCAACCTCTTCTGTCTCTCTCTCCCTCACCTCCTCTATCTATCTATCTATCTATCTATCTATCTATCTATCTATCTATCTATAAATGCTCTGTGCATAATGAGTACCTTAAAAACAAAACAACCAATGAACGAAATCACACCAAATTTGGCAACAAAACGTCTCACAACACAAGGAGTGACCATCACTGAAAAATTATGATTTTGTCATTTGGGAGTTGTAGTTGCTGGGATTTATAGTTCACCTACAATCAAAGAGCATTCTGAACTCCATCAAGAAGGGAATTGAACCAAACTTGGCACACAGAACTCCCATGACCAACAGAAAATACTGGAAGGGTTTGGTGGCCATTGACCTTGAGTTTGGGAGTTGTAGTTCACCTACATCCAGAGAGCACTGTGGATTCAAACAATGATGGATCTGGACCAAACTTGGCACAAGCACTCAATATGCCCAAATATGAACATAGGTGGAGTTTGGGGGAAATAGACCTTGACATTTGGGAGTTGTGGTCACTGGGATTCCCAATTCACCTACAATCAAAGAGCAGTCTGAACAACAGAATCGGGGCAAACTTCCCACACAGAACCCCCATGACCAACAGAAAATACTGAAGGCCATCCAACCCAACTCCCTTCATCAGGGCAAGAAAATGTAATCACAGTCCTGACAAAGAGCCATCCAGCCATAGAGATAGATAGATAGATATGATTCACACACAGATGCAGTATCATAGATTTGAAAGGGACCCTTAAAGAAGGACACTGATATGTTGCATGTTCCAGGGTGGGCAAACCAGACACTCTCCACATCAACACTGACAAAGAAACAGCAAGAAATACTGTTTACCCACAAGCATAAAGAAATTACATATATCAGAAACCAACACTTTCTCATTACTTTATTTTCCAAATCAACAGACTGGGCCACAGCAATGCGTGGCAGGGGACAGCTAGTCCCTTATAATACCTTTCCCCACAAGATGCTGTCTTGTTTGGCCATCCGCCAGAGGTCCAGGAACCCTGTTGCCAAGGCAACCGGAAACGACTTCATCTTTCTCATTGCCTCCAGGAACATCAAAGCCAGGTTCTGGCTGAATGGAGTCAACCAGGGCAGATAATACTGGAGAAGGCTTTGAAGGTCATAACAACTGCCCATAAGATAAATGTATACATGGTTCTACAGCAGGCATGGGCCAACTTCGGCCTTCCCTCCAGGTGTTTTGGACTTCAACTCCCACAATTCCTAACAGGAATTGTGGGAGTTGAAGTCCAAAACACAGGAATTGTGGGAGTTGAAGTCCAAAACACCTGGAGGGAAGGCCGAAGTTGGCCCATGCCTGCTGTAGAACCTGTTGTAGATGCCCTCTCGGCCCTCAGCCAAAAGAGGGAGGGGCCTGGCGTGAAAGAAGGAAGTGGGGAGGTCCAAGGTCCAACCCTCACCTGCCGCCGAGGCCGCCTCGTTCTGCTTCCACCTGGGCGACTCCGCGGCGGTAGGGAAGCCCCTCAGCAGCACCCGCTCCAGGGCCCGCATCGCCTCCCTTCCTCCCTTCCTTCAAGGGACGGGATACGTCCACACCCAGGTTCTGCCGCTGGGAATCAGCCTGGGAAGGGCGGCACGCAGGAAATGATCCCTCTCGCCCTCTCAGTCTGCCTCTCTCAGGCGCAGAGAGAAGCCCAACCCACGTGCCGCAAGCAGCCTCTGGGAGCCGCCATGTCCACCGCGCGGGGCACGCCGGGAGAAATCCCAGGCGATGGCGCATGCGTAGAAGCCACAGGATGCTGCCAGTGCTGGCGGAAGATTCCCTTAGGCCGTTCGATCAACTCACGCATGCGCAGGAGTGACAGGACTTCTATAGCTTGTGTTTTGATCTGGGAAAGAAGTATGAAGTGTCCCTGGGCAATGGGGCGCAAGGCATCCCTGGCCAATCCAACCATATCTGTACTTTAGAATGAATGCAGTTTGATACCACTTTACCAGACACGGCAACGACTTAAGATTGGACTTGAAGGAGCTGGGCATGGTGATAGTCGACAGGTCACGAAGAGTCAGAAACAACTGAACGAATGAATAGTGAAAGGACCAAGGCAGAGACATCTCCAGCTCATCCCCTGTTTGGGTATCAGCCAGCACGTCAACGACTTAAATCAAGAAATAGTTTTCTTAGATCTACAGAGACACTCGCTGGAACACCTCAGCAAGCGAGAGTCCAAAAGTGGCAGGCTCAAACAGCACCTCAATCCGTGGGTGATACCAGATGAGAGACTCCCCCCTGGGCGACTTGGAAGACGCTGAACAGACTGCGCTCTGGCACCACGAGATGCAGAGCCAATCTTAAGAAATGGGGCTACAAAGTTGAATCCACGACATGCGAGTGTGGAGAAGAGCAAACCACTGACCACCTGCTGCAATGCAACCTGAGCCCTGCCAAATGCACGATGGAGGTCCTTGCGGCAACACCAGAGGCACTCCAAATGGCCAGATACTGGTCAAAGGACATTTAATCAGCTACCAAGTTTGCAAAATTTGTGGGTTTTTTTGGTTTTTTTAAAATCTGTTTGCTTGTTTTGTTTTGTTAGAAATGTAATACAATGTTCTGTTTGCGGATGACACGATAAATAAATAAACGACTTAAGTCAAGAAATAGTTTTCTAAGATCTACAGAGAGAGAATGGAAAGCTTGGAGAAGACAATGATGCTGGGGGAAATGGAAGGAAAAAGAAAGAGGGGCCGACCAAGGGCAAGATGGATGGATGGCATCCTTGAAGTGACTGGATTGGACTTGAAGGAGCTTGGGGTGGTGATGGTCGACAGGTCACGAAGAGTCAGAAACAACTGAACGAATGACCAACAACAACAAACAGAGAGAGATCAATGCTTTTGATAAAGATAAATGCTTTTGAACTATGGTGTTGGAGGAAAGTTCTGAGAGTGCTTTGGACCGCAAGAAGATCCAACCAGTCCATACTTCAGGAAATAAAGCCCAACTACTCATTGGAGGGAAGGATATTAGAGACAAAGATGAAGTACTTTGACCACATAATGAAGAGGCAAGAAAGCTTAGAGAAGACAATGATGCTGGGGGAAATGGAAGGAAAAAGGAAGAGGGGCCAACCAAGGGCAAGGTGGATCGATGGTATCCTTGAAGTGGCTGGATTGGACTTGAAGGAGCTGGGAGTGGACATGGCCAACAGGGAGGACAGGCATGGGTTGGTATATGAGGTCACGAAGAGTTGGAAGCAACTGAACGAATGAACAGCAACAAACAAGAGACTTGCTGGAACACCTCAGCAAGCGAGTGTCCAAAAAGTGGCAAGCTAAAACCCAGAACCTCAATCAGTGGCTGATACCAAATGAGAGATGCCCTCCTAGGCACATAGAAAACCGGGTGACTTGGTAGGTGCTGAACAGACTGCGCTCTGGCACCATGAGATGCAGAGCCAACCTTAAGAAATGGGGCTACAAAGTGGAGTTCACGACATGCGAGTGTGGAGAAGAGCAAACCACTGACCACCTACTGCAATGCAACCTGAGCTCTGCCACATGCACAGTGGAGGACCTTCTTATAGCAACACCAGAGGCACTCCAACGGGCCAGCTATTGGTCAAAGGACATTTAGTAGAATGCCAAGTTTGCAAACTTTGTGTGTGTGTTTTTTTAAATACAGTACAACTGTTTGGTTCGCTCCTAACATGATAAATAAATAAATAAACCTGACATGACTCAAGGCTGTGAAATCTGTCTACCAATATTTTAAAAACTCTAAAATCATAACAATAAATAAAGACGGGAGCTCCAGACAAGAAACAATCAGGGACAGCTAATCACCTATCAACAAAGGATTCCCCCAGGCAGTAAGAAGTCAGACCTTGAAAACTGCTAGGCCATTAAATGCATCACGGTGGCCAATTGAAACATTCACACTTATCTCCAACAGACAAAGAGTTCTTTTTCCCACGTTGGACATTCCACATATATAAAACCCCAGTTTTCCTAGTTTCCAACAGACCTCACAACCTCTGAGGATGCCTGCCATAGATGCAGGTGAAATGTCAGGAGAGAACGCTTCTGGAACATGGCCATACAGCCCGAAAAACTCTCAGCAGTCCTGCAAATTGACGTTTTACATGGTCTTTGAACTTCTCCCCATACTTAAGTGGCTGAGGCAAGGAAAGGAAAGGGCCTGAGGCTATTAGGAATTGTGGGAGTTGAAGCCCAAAACACCTGGAGGGCCCAAGCTTGCCCATGCCTGGTGTAGATGCAACTGATATTAGAGTTCCTAGAACGTTGACAACAAAACGTTGAATCTCCCCGATAAGTACAAATGGTACCTCCATTCTGGACACCACAAGCAGCTGTATAACCTGATCCTGAAGAAAGGAGTGAGATGCACATGGTGAAAAGAGATTAAAGACAGAGAGCAATGCAATATGTGCAAAGAACTGGGGGCTGCAGATGCAGCTGAGCCGATGACTGGGCTGGAGGATGCTGCAGAATGACCTAACAAAGGAATACCAGCTCCATGCTTGTCCAACCTTGCAAGGTCAGTGCTATTTAATGAAGCATCACATTTAGAAGAAACGGAACAGATGTCTGTAGCTGAGGCTGTTCAGTGGAGAAAAGCTGCCCAAGAAGAAGAAAAATGCATTGCATAAGAATGGGACACTTGCAGAACTTCCATTCAGAAAGAAGGCCACAGGATGTTCATTCTTGTTCAAAGGGAATCAGGATGCAGAAGGGGAAAGTGGGTTACTCCAAGGCAAGAATGCAGTCTGTCCTCCATATCTGCAGGCTTTGCTTTTGCTATGAAATCATGAGTATTATAGCTTTACAAGCTCTTTATCCTTCTCTGTCAAAAAAAGTGCTGGAGCTTCATTAAACTACATCTCCCAGGATTCCAAAAGCATTGTACCACAACAGTGAAAGTGGTGTCCAACAGCAGTCATTCTATAACAGGCATGGGCAAACTTCCTCCCTCCAGGTGTTTTGGACTTCAGCTTCCACAATTCCTAACAGTCAAACACCTGCTGGGTCAAAGTTTGCCCATGCCTATTCTATAGTGTAGTTGAGACACCTGCAACCGCTTATCAAACTCAGCACCATAGGACTGCTCCATGGATGTTTATATCAATGGATACATTGCAAAAATCCCCAGGCCTTGTAAACTAGATGCAACTACATTTTGTTTTCAAGCGTAAAAGAGAATTGTATGGTCTTAAACAGGCTTCTTTATAAAGCTTTATAAAGCTATTATCCTCCCAACCCTGCTATATGCCTGCGAAACGTGGACTGTCTACAGACATCACATGCAACTCCTAGAACGATTCCATCAGCATTGCCTCTGAAAAATCCTGCAAATCTCTTGGGAAGACAGGCAGACAAATGTCAGCATGCTGGAAGAAGCAAAGACCACCAGCATTGAAGCAATGGTCCTCCGCCATCAACTCTGCTGGACCAGCCACGCTGTTCGAATGCCTGATCACCATTTCCCAAGGCAGTTGCTCTACTCTGAACTCAAGAATGGAAAACAGAATGTTGGTGGACATGAAAAGAGATTTAAAGATAGGCTCAAAGCCAACCTTAAAAACTGTGGCATAGGCACCGAGAACTGGGAAGCCCTAGCCCTTGAGCGCTCTAGCTGGAGGTCAGCTGTGACCAGCAGTGCTGTAGAATTTGAAGAGGCACAAATGGAGGGTGAAAGAGAGAAACATGCCAAGAGGAAGGCGTGCCAAGCCAACTCTGACCAGGACCACCTTCCACCTGAAAACTGATGCCCTCACTGTGGGAGAACATGCAGGTCAAAAATAGGACTCCAAAGTCACCTATGTACCCACTGCCAGGACACCGAACTTGGAGGACAATCTTACTCGGACAACAAGGGATTGCCTAAGTAAGTAAAGCTTGGGCTATGAATGAGAAACTACTGATAGGAAAAATGCTGAAGCAACAAGACTAAATTTAAGCAAGGTGAAGTATTTATTTCTTTATTTACTTCATTTCTGCCTCGCCTTTCTTGACCCTGGAGGAGACTCAAGGTGGCTTACAAATTTGGCAAAATTTTAATGCCACACAGAGAAACAATAAAACACATTTCATCAAAATATAAAACAATCTAAACATATAAGCAATTAAAATACATATCAACCAATCAAACAGATTAAAAACCCTCTAAAATTCCGAGTCATGATCTCATATCCATAGACTGAAGCCATAGACCGAAGTAGACTGAAGTCGACATACAAGAACTATGAATGATTGTTCCACCTTTATTCTAATTTTTGTTGATTTTATTATAGCCACTCTGCGCAATAAAGATTAAACTGAAATTGTACATCACCTAAAAAATTGATTTGAAAGAATTAAGAAATGCTACATACTATCTAGACATACAAACTGAAAGAGAAGAGCATGTTTTCCCTCCGCTCCTAAACCAAAAACAAAAATTGTCCAACTTTTATAAAGTCTAGAACTCCAAGATGTCTACACTGTATCAACAGCCGTGGTAACAGACATTCATAACAATAATGAAAAATGTAAAAGTTCGTACAGAATTACCAATCGGAAACCAGTATTTAGCTACTAACACAAGACCTTAAAGATAAAAACATACAG